CATATGGATGACAACTTTTAGTTATTTCCAGTGTATTTCCAAACTACAGAGGACATATAAAGGCATGAATGATCATTGTGGTTATGTACACAACTGATTGTGAAAATTAAGCAGAGGTCATGGGTTTGAGTCCATCGAGGCCTGATTTTTTTATCAGGCTTTATTCTCCCCACTTTTAATTGCTTTCTTTTGCTCTTTGTAGAAAAAAGAGGCTGTGCGCAGACTATCACAGGGTTCTGGAGCAGTTCACAATCATGGTGGTTCCTTCTCCTCACAAGCTCCAGGGCAATGGCCACAACGGAGAAAATTCTCAGGTACAACAATGTGAACAGTGACTATTATACATGTTCAAGTACTTGTATGTCTACTCTTACATGGAGCTTGTAACTATCAACAAGATCTTTTCTTTTTTGCAAGCTCCCAGTTCTCATGAATAGCATACATGTAGCATTAAGCAGCATAATCTCGGCCTTGGACCATGTGTAACTTTGGTCAGCGGTGACTGAAAGTCCTATGTTCTGGGTGAAATAAAAAGACAGAACCAGAAAATCAATGGTTCTGGTTTGTTTGTGTCTTAGTTTGTCAATGGTTTCTCAAACATGGGGGAGCAAGAGAGAAGCTGTTGAAAGTCAATTTGTTCTATAGGTCTATTTGTTTCAAACTATAGTTCAGTTCGCTAATCTCTGTCTGCCTGGTTTTTTTTGGCTGTATGGAGATGTCTCACAGCCGGACAAATTCTTTGTGTCCGGTTAGCCTGAATAGCGTTCTGTTTAGCCTGAATAGCACAAAGATTAGCTTGAACATCACAAAGGTTAGCTTGAATAGCACAAAAGTTACATGTACTGTAGCCTGAATAGTGCACTGGTGAGCCTGTTTACAGTTAGTTCCCAATAATTGTAATGGTAACACGATAAATGCATGATCGTAAATGGAAAATTCTCTTTTCTGTTAAGCTAGTGAAACTGACTTGTACATCTTAGATTGTACAGACATGTATTTCGGGATGGTACTTTAGCAATATGAGAATGAATTAATGTTAGTGAGAGTTTTTGATAGTTGATGTGCGTCAAAATCTCAAACGTGCATATGCATAATAGTTCTGAACTGATCAGGTTGTATAGAGAACAGCAGTGAATACAATTTATCATGTTATGGGTACAAGGCTTTCCTCTGTTATTATTTGCAGACCAACAACAAATGAGAAGACAGCAACCAGGTGGGCAAAGACCAGCCAAGAGAAGCCATGCTAGTCCACTTGACCGAGATCCCTCCGTTAGTGGTAACACTGATGCAAAGGCAATTAAACCGGCTGGGACGGCAAGTTTCACTTTTCGTAGTGTGCAAACCTCACTGAGCAGTCAGGCATCACAGTTAACACACATAACCAGTGATACTTCTTCGTCATTTCCAGCAGCACCTGTATTTGGGACTGGGTTTAGTTCTGCATCCAATCTTCAACAAAGTGCAGGTTAAATACTCAAATTGTTTTGGCAATGTACACCGTTAAATTATCTTTACGAGTATTCCAAAGTACACCCTCTTGACATTTTATTTTGCTACATGTAGTCTTTATGTGAGGTAGTGTTACTGTACAAGTAATTCATTTTTGTGCATGTGTACATGTATACAAGTCATGTACAAAATGCTGTTCCTCAGTAAATTCTTATTTCATACATTATCAGAAAAGCATAAACGCCTACTTAAAGTAATACAAGTGCATGTATTTTGGGAATGTAATACACTGTACCTATCAGTTACTGTAAAATGCATGTAAAACTATTAGAGTTTCCTTAATTTGTAATTCCAGATTCCTTTCATTTTATGGAACTGTAAAATGTACATTATACATGAACATATCCATAAGGCATATTAGACACAGACAAAGAAAAACTTTTGTAAAGTGAAAACAAGAATCAAGGCAATCAACTAAAAGCAGCATGGAATACAGAAATTGCATTTACAGTAATTTAGGATCTTGATATGCATCAAAATGCCCTACACTGTATTTAGTGGTGATTAAGATGGACTTAAAGATTGTATTCCTTATTTAGCACAAGGACATTCACACTTTGAATGAGAGAAGACTTCATGTTGTTTTAAAGTGAAATGCTTTGGCCATTTTCACCATAATCCCTGGACATAGTGTTGAGGAGTGTAGGATGAGTAATGTAGACATGTACTACATGTGTATGCAAGGCTGTACAAAAGTCACATGTTCTTGTTTTCTAATCATCAATGAAAACGTTTAATGTACATTTCAGATTTGATCAATTTTCATTTCTCAGGAGAAGCTGTAGTTCCGTCCACCAGTAGCATTTTTGGTTCAGGGTTTGGGAAGAGTGAACCTAAGGCAGGTGTCTCTGTGACTACAGCACCCTCTAGCATCTTTGCAACAGGTTCACAGACAACTTCATTCATCGCACCATCCCAAGCTTTAACTCCTGTCTTTGGCACAGTTTTCAACAAGAATGCTGCCTTAACTTCCATGAATGCATCTCTGGCAAGCACGTCTAGCTCTAGTAATCTTTTCAGTCTTGGTGCAGCAGTCCAACAGTCACCCTCTAGCAGCTTAACCTTTGGTAGTTTTAGCAATCTGGGATCCTCTGGCTCAACAGAAGTCTCTTCAAGCAGCAGTTTTGGTGGTGCTAATGGAAGTGAAACTACTGGCGACAATGCTACTTCACCTTTAACATTTGGAGCATTGCCTAGGCCGTCATTTGAGGTTAAATCAAGTGACTCAAAACCTTTGTTCCCAATAATGTCACAATCTACTTCATCAACGTTTGGTGCAGGGAATGCAAACAAGCCACAGACAGGAACAACAGGACATTTTGGCCGTGCATTTGCTGCAGCAACAGCAGGTCAGAGGGCAAAAGAAAACAAGGAAAAAGTAGCAGAGGAGAAAATAAGAGGCTTAGACACCTCCAATTTGACAGCACTGCTCATCAAAGATATTCCGGAAGCATACAACAAGAATGCTTGGTTGAGGAGGTTTTATTCACGGTTTGGTGAGGTGACAAAGGTGTTGTGTAGTGCAGCCAAGAAGAGTGCATCAGTGGTTTTTAAAACTCATGTAAGTAATGTTCTGAGAGCTTTTTACAGTGGGGACACTTGAACTGTGGGTTATTGTTTGGTGACTATATCATGAGTGCTTGTCATATAACAAGAGTACTTTGACTAGACTGTTACTCTCTGAAGAAACACTAATCTTCTACATTCTTCGCAGATGTGCAAAAAATTTCTTGTGTTCATGGTTTGAGTGTCCTTACTGTAATTTTTAAATTCAGGATTGCATTTAGTTTCAATGTGTAATTCAGCTCTGTGATACTTCATGTATGAATACTTAGTATTTCTTGTCCAAATGCTCTAATTTCTTAATTTATTAGGAAGCTGCAGAGTTAGCTAAGAAGAAAGGCAGAATTCTGAGGCCTAGTTTGCCTCCTGTGGTAATTTTCTGGAAGCAGCAAGGGAGTCGTCGGAGTACGACATCAGGTACAGTGTTTTCAAGTCCAAACTTCTCCTGTTTTATCGTTTGTTTACCACAGATGGCCAAACTGTGTGGTCTGGAATAGTGTGACTCTGTACCTATAATTATAATAATATTAGTATACAGACATGTGTAATTATGTTCCAGGGTTCTCCCGCAATTTTGAATTAGTCGGAGACAAATTTCAGGTACCCGGCGACAATCTCTTTCCTTGCCAAGCCGACCCCAAAAAATGTATGTATATTTTCCCTGAGTAGCTGGTGCGCCCAGGTCCAGTAGACGGCGATTTTCGTCGGCCGCTGGAGCTTCTGAAGAACCCTGTGTTCATCGCAAGGGTTGAGAAATTTGTGTTGTTTTCATCTAGCAATTAAATTTTGTGGTCAATATACAGGTGTAAGTTAAAGTAGAGTTGGGTTGACATTATGATCAATGTTAATGTGCACCTGTAGGCAGAGTTATGGCCAAATCATAATGACTATACATGTATTTTTACAGTACAGGACTCGACACTAACTTTTCAACTTACTAGCCTAGTGGCTAGCGACAACTAAGATGTTACTAGCCAAAAACAAAATTTATTAGCCAAGTGTTGACATTGACTAGGTCCAATAGCAGCAGATTTACTAGCAAGACTTGAAAGCACAATGCAAGCGACAAATTCTAATCGAAAATTAGAACAGCCTCCTGTGATGAATGCTGACGAGGAATTGGACAGATTTTTTTTTCTACACACCATGTGCAGAACATTGCTCCATTTGGTGAATAATCCATGGAAGGTCGGATGCCATGATTGTTGAAATATTTTTGCTTTGACGTTGGAGGTTGTTTCTTTTCAGACCTCTCGTCTTTGCCTTTTTCTTTTTTACCACCAGTAAAAAACCCTTATATCTATTATGAAATTTTGAGAAAAAACAAAACAATGCAATTTTGCACCAGTGAGCATGTTTCCAAGAAAACTGTTTGTGTCTGTCTCCCGTCAAGGGAGACAGAAACTAGTTCAGTCAATTTATTTTTCTGGTTTACCTACAGTGGTAAATGGATAAATGTAATGCAGTGAACTTTTCATTTTCCATTCTTAGAAAGTATGTTTTTACATGATGTAAGTGTCTTTATAAACAGAGAGTGATCGACAGACCAAACCAAGCCCAGATGCTGACAAGTTGAGTGGTAGAATATTGCGCAGTCCAGAGAAAAGCAAGAAGGTTTCTAAACAGGTAAAGTACACCACAGGCCACAGGAATTCCAGTTATAACACATGCACAGCATATGTGTTAAATGATGGCTTTGCATGCAATCTACACTTTGCATGATAAATAATAATTATTATTCTGTGTATGTGTAAAGTTTTACATGCACCCTCAATTATTTTGCATAAGAATTGTGCATTACCTAGATGAAGGATACTGCATGAATTCTTTTGATGCTGTATATAAATATTTTCCACTGGAAAAAAAATGTAATGTTCGTGAATATGCCGGTGTTATTAATTATATTTCCCTATTAAATTTGGAAGAACCAGGCTTGTGCTGAAGAGCAAAAAAAAAAAGGTATTGCTATTGGTTCCAAAAGTGTAGTACAGGATCAACACATTGCTGAAACCACTAACATGTGCATGCACTAGTCTAAATTTTGCAACTCCCAAAATTTAAACAGGAATACAACTCATGCGTCACCTGTGCGAACAGGCAGCATTTTTTATCCCCAAGATAAACCACTTGACTTGACAGCTGTCTTTCTTATTGTATTTCTTAGATTGAATCATCCCAGGAACAGGGTGCATGCAGCATGAGAAGTTCAGAAGTTCTAAGGGATATTCAAGAATGTAATTACTATGCAATTTCATTGTAATTAAATAAGTTGTACATGTACTGTTGTACATACATGTACTTTTGTGTGGAGACGTGGTGGCCTCATGGTTGGTACACTCACTTTCGGATCAAGCGGTCCGGGTTGGAGCCCTGACCGGGGATATTGCGTTGTTTTCTTGGGCAAGGCACTTCACTTCCACAGTGCCTCACTTCACCCATGTGTATAAATCGGTAGCCTGGAACTTAATGCAGGGGGGGAGGGGGGGTAACCCTACGATGTGCTAGCATCCCATTTCTGGGGGGGTTTGGGGGTTTAAATACTCCCACCAGCCTGATGGACCACTTGGTTCTTATGTAGACTGAATTTACCTGTACATGCACGGTATAATTATCTTGATTATTACTGAGGGGAACTACCATGTATTAATAAAGTCATCCAACCATCCACGCATCCATGTATATGGACAAACTGCTTTTATTTGATAAATACAAATGAGTCTTATTTAGTAAAGATTAACAGGATATCTTACATTTAATCTTGCAGATTTAAACTCAGCACAACCAAGTGAAAATGCAGGAGAAAAACTCCAAGTCTTAGAAGAAATTGACAAAAGGCTCAGGCAAGGTATTGAACTGCAGAATTGTTTCTAAAGCATGTTGCTGAGGAGCCTTTTAAAAGGAGACAACAGTACATGCACCATTCTCAGCAGTCTTTGCCATTGTTTCATCTCCTGATCTCATTTTACTGTCAATATTTCAAAATAATGTTTGTTGATTAAGACTTTGTTGTGTAAGCAATATTTTTGTGGAAACAGGCTTGGAATGCTAAATTATTAATTCATGAAATTCTTCTGTGTTCTCTAAATAAAGTTTGCATGAAACATGATTAAAAAAATTATAGTTTGTGATAATCATTGTAGATTTAACGATCTTTGGTTGATTTTGTTTTTAAAGGTAAATTTGTATTTTGTTACATCCAATATTTTAGCATACAAAAGGTCATCAGATATCAGTTCTGCAAAAGCTGTTGTTGGAACTTGCAAAGACATGTGCCCAGAGAAGGTAAAGTAGAAAGTGTTTGCTTGTGTTTAAATTACTTTATTTGTTCTAGCCCAAAGGACAATGAATTCTTGGAATGTGTAGGCCTGTCATGAGTCTTGACATCATCCACATGTATTGTATTATCTCCCATGCACAGTAAGATATTTGAGGGCAGTGCCATAAAACTCGCCTTGTTAGTACAAAGAGTTGATGAGGATTGACTGAGTTAGGAAGTGGGGGAGTGTTAGGGAGAAAGTGAGTGAATGTGTGAGAGGAAGATTTATGGCAGGAGGATAAAAAGACAGGGAGAGATGGATGGATGGAGGTAGGAAGGGAGGAAGGAAGGGAGGAATGGTGAGTTGGAAGATGGCATAAATGGAGGAAGGAGAACAGGAGGATTGGTGAGTGATGGGATGGGGTAGGATACCTGGAGGCATGGAGCTAAGAAGCTACGGTCAAGGAGGAAATGGGGGAGTTGCACTATAACCTAGTAGAAGAGGGAAGGTTGATAAGTAGGAAGTCCAAAGTTAAAATAATTCTTTCTGCTTGGTACAATGTGGTCTGTAGAAATACTAATATTCACTTGTCTAATTGTTTCACAGGAGAGGTACATGAGAGAATATCAGAGACGACTTAGTGTGTTTGAGTCTGTTCCTGGGACAGGCAGTATTGTGAGTATTTCTGTTGGTATAGTGGACAGAATGCAGTTAGACCCTATTGTTTGGTGTGACTGTCAGCTCTTGAAATGAACAACTTAACAAGCCACATATTGGCTCTCTTAAACCTGTTAAATTGATAGCTCCTAAGTCGGAATGGAATTTCTTACCTCTCAAGCAAAGACATGTATCATGCATGATATCAATCGAAAACTTTATTGTCATGCATGTCTTGTTGTTAAAATTTGTTTGTCCTTTCCTTACAGGATGAAAATCCTCAAGTTGATCACACTTGTGCTATTAAAGAGTATGACAGATCAGCAGCTGACAAGGTTTTTTCCTTACTGTTTTTGTTTCCTTGTTTGATTTTAAACCAGAGTAATTAAGTGCATTTTTATTTTCATGCAGATTTCATCCCTTAAAAGTATAAATTTTGTTCAAATAATGGTTTCCAATTATTTGTCTACATACATGCATTGATGTGTTTACATGTAGTATTAAACTTCACACTTTTGCAAAATCTTGTTCCAACTGAATTGTTTTGTGTACGTGTACATGAATGTGCTTGTCAGTTCATTTGACAACTTTTAGGTCAGCATAACAGTGAATGTTCTTCTTTACGTTTTATTGGGAAATGAGCAAATTACAGTATCTAGTAACCACAAAGAGATGTATTGAAGCCACAACCTACATGTACAGTCTCCTCATGCCACAAACTTGGCTTTTGTATTTGTTTCTTGTTCTTTTTGGAGAATGAATCGATTAATTTAGATTAAGAAAACGATTTTGTTGCTGTCTTTTCCAGGAAGAGCCATTGCCACATGAGCTTCGTCCTGTCCCAGTTCTGAAAATGACCATGGATTACCTGGCAACGACTATCATGGATCAAGTGGAAGGCAGAGAAGGAGAGTGGTTTGACTTTGTCTGGAACAGAACCAGGGGAATCAGAAAGGTCAAAAAATATGTTTGTTAAAAATTCAAAAGTTCAACTTCTAACTTCATTTATTACTCATACATTTACAATTTTACAAAAAAAATAGACACACTTTACACTTGACACTTTGTTGTTAAAAATAATTAAGTTAAAAAACATGACTATTACAACAGCGTGAACCAGCAGGTAGTCCAGGCTAATCTAGGCGGGCCACATCTATATTCCTTACTTTAACACCACTGCCTCAAGTTTCATCTGCCAAATCAAATCTTATAAAGAGACAGACAGTGTGTACAAGATTGCAAATTTCTCCTCATGCATACAGTTGATTACATTACTTTACAATACTTCAGAACATGTTCATTTGTACTGATTTGTACAACGAAAAACAAACTTCAATTATGTAACAACATCTTATAGCGATTATCTTGCCCATGTCAAACAATTTACGTGAACATTGGGTAATCTATACAAGCTGTTTGACTGGTTTTGTTAATACGCATGTTACATTTTTTTGCATCTAGGATATTACTCAGCAGCATTTGTGTGACCCTGATTGTGTTGATCTTGTGGAGAAAACAGCAAGGTTAATATACATTCAATATTTTTAGCTTGGGATAAACATTTTAATTAATACGTAACATTTTAAGTAATACGTAATTAATAAAGAATATGTGTTTTGTTGTAGGTTTCATATCCTTTGTGCTCATTATCTGTGTGAGGCAGACATGAACTCTTTTGATGCAAAGATTAATACTGAAAACTTGACCAAATGCCTGCAAACATTGAAACAGTTTTATGGAGATCTTTATAAGGACAAGGTAACTACTACTGTATAGATTAACACTGAAAACTTCACTCAAGACAGTGTGTTACCACTTTTCCAAACTACTCGAGGTTCGTCAAAAATACTCCGCTACGCGTCCTATTTTAAATTCCCTTCTCGGCCATTACAAATGTGGTCAGACACGGTCTTTAGTGTTTGAAATATTACGTCTATAGATATGTACATGCGGATTGCAGATGCCCGTTCTTTTTGCATTAGCCAGTCCATTATTTAAAGATGTACAACAGATAATGCATGTTCATAGAGGTATAATAGTTTTAGTATATTTCATATTCTAAGTACTTTGTGTTCATGCCTTTTGACTTGAAGGGAATAACATGCCCACAAGAAGCAGAGTTCCGAGCTTATGACATTTTGTTGAATTTGAATGAGGGCGATATTTTGAGGTAAGTTCAGTTGGCAGTGGCAATCTTTCTAAGTACGAATTTTTCTGTTAAAGGGGTGTGTACCACTTGTCTCACTGACTATTCTTGTTTGACCACGAACCTGTGAACTTGTGAGCCAACTGGGCCCGCCATGCTGCAGACGTTTATCCGAGTTTGCGTGGCATATGAGTTGAATAGCACTTACTGCAAAATTTGGTTATCTTTGTGTTTCACAGGAGGGCTTACAAATGTGCCAGGACTTTTACGCTGGGGCATAGCACTTGTTCTCCTCATGAAACCTTTTGATTCGGGACGTCCTCATTGCTGTTGTTGTCGCGTTAACTCCCAAATGAAGGCCTGTGGACAGATTAAGACCATCACGTCTCCCTTTTATGACTTCCTTGTTTATTACTAGTTGCGGTAGAAAATAACTTCATTCTGTTTTTTTTTCCCTCAGGGAAGTTATGACATTGCGAGATGAAGTCCAAAAGTCAACGGAAGTCAAGTTTGCGATGGCTGTTTTCCATGCTTTGAACAGCAATAATTTTGTCAGATTTTTTCGACTTCTCAGGTATGGAATCCCTTCTTCAAGTCATACCACTGATTGCTGTTGAAGTGCAATTTAACGTATAGTAGATACATGTAAGCTATGCAGTATAGATCCTTTTATTTTATTTCTTTTTCTGTTTTACCTAGAAATGCGAAGTACCTCAGTGCTTGCCTATTGCACCGTTACTTTACACAGGTAGGGCATAACTAACATATATTTACATGTAATAAATAGCTTGTCCTTACACTGATACGCTAGTATATTTTTTTGGATAAAAGAAAAACAACCCAAGTTTCCCTCCCACCATGTCCTGAGCAGAAGATCTTCATAAATTCGAGAAAACATCAGTTTTGCCACATAAATTGTAAAATACATTTTGTCTTGATCAAAATATCCGATGATGGCCTTCCAAGTTATTTACATGTAGTGTCGACACAATGAAAATATATATTTGTATTATTTTACAGGTTCGCAGCAGAGCTGTTCAGACGTTAAACCATTCTCTAAGCATCGCTAATAGGACAACTCCATTCCAGTTGAAAGAGCTGGTAGACATCTTGGCTTTTGAAAGCGATTCTGAGGTACACTGACTTCTCCAACTGGTCAATTGTGTTAGGTGTAAAGGGGTGTAAACGCAATGTTCTCTATACTAGTAAGGTGTTTGTAGCTGCGGTCCGTATGTAGAAATATACTCTTTTTGTCATTGTCATTTTTGCTGTTGTTGGGGTTGTCTTGATAGACTATCAAATCTTTTTATGCCGGCCCCTGCTTGTGTATTGGTTTTGTATTTATTTTCGCATGAGCCAAAACTGTCCTCCAATATCAGGCGGTTTTTACAACTTAAGCGGCTAGTCAGGAAAAGTTCTTTTTAAGCCCGGCAAATATCAACTACCGCGAAGTTTCGTAAGGAACGACCCATTTGCCATAATGCAGTGCAATATGTTAGTACATGTAGATAGGTGCGCTCGCCAATGTCACGGGCCTCTTGCAATGCAGTCAACACCATTAAGCTTGATAAAAGACTTATTGACTGAGGGGGAAGGCTGAGTATGAGACTTATGTTTGATCTTACTTCTGTCCTATGATCAGTGTGTGTACTGTTCCCTGTTTGTTCCGTTGAATTCCAACCAAAGATATCCCTTTCTTCACTCAAGCATTTACAGTCGAACCTTTTTCCAACGGCCACCCTGGGGTCAGAGTTTACTGACCATTGTGAAGGAATGACTATGGGTGGGAGGTTAAAGTGAAAGCAAATCTCTTGACTGAGATAAAAATATGTAGGCGCAGTGAAAAGGTGACCGTGTTTTGGAGGTGGCATTAGTAGAGGTTGCATGGACTGTAATTTCCTCTCGCTTTTTAACAGGCTGGTGAATTTTGCTCGTCTCATGGTCTATCCGTCACAGAAGGATCAGTGAATTTTGCTCGGTCTTCATTTATTGAACCCGAGACAAGGCTGTCAGTGAAACGAGCTTGGAGATTGATAGAATCTAAACGAAGCTGTTCTCTTGGCGAGGTAGGGACTGACGTCACACTTTAAAAACATTCTTTATAGAATCGTCCAATCTTATAGTATGTAATGTCGTCTACGTGCAGATGTAAATAAATAAAAACCCTTGTCTCCAGAGCGATTTTCACGGTTTTCAAAAGTAATTTGCTGTTCTACGATTACTGCGGATTGGTATAAAAAGTAAAAAACAAAAACAAAACTCACGCCACTTTCTTCAACCAATGTGAAGTTAATCTAAAAGTAATCGTGACTCGCTCGCTCTAACAACGTGATTAACATCAACACAAATTGAAGGGCAAACTTGTTTAAACTAAATGAAATAAACGCCAATGCAACGAATAAAACACTTTATTTGATATAAGTCTGTATAAAAACAGAAACCTTTATTCTGCACCAGTTTTTGTTACGTACTACAATTAATTGAAGAATATTTCCTTTTTTTGCCGTTTCTTGTACATTAGGTGGTCTACAATGGGCCCCTTCCACCTCCCCCACATCATCAACCATGCCTCAGTTTCAGCGAAGATGGCCGCTTCATTGGCGACACAATGGAGCTGCTTTCTGTGTTCAGCGAAGACGAGGCCTCCCCTTCATTAGCAGCAGATCAGGGTAGAGCGCAGCCAACATTTGGTACCAGTTCTTCCGCGGTTCTGTTTTCTGGGAGGCAGACAGCACAGCCGGACACCTCCGATAGAAACTTGTCAGTTGTATTGACGGCTTCCTCTCGCTCAGTGTCAACTCTGCCTGGAATTCCAGGACAGTCTGCTCAAAGGCCGTCCATTCAGGTTTGCTCCCTTCACAGAATACATATCTCTTACCGACCGAGTTCGAGATCCGTATTGTAAGTTATGGACCTACTTTTTCCCCTCTTCAATTTACAGCCCAAGCGCGAAGCGAGAATTCAATAGAAAGGCGAGAAGAAGAATTCTTTGTGAGCACGCAACCACTGTTAAGGTCATGAAACCAAGCTTATTGACATGGCAAAACTGAAAACCTACGTATGCGAGTGTAGGGGAGATTCGGTAGCGGATACTGTTTTTGACTGGTTTCAAGTCTTTGCAACTTTGTGTTAAAAACCAGNCGCACTATTCACCAAGACTTCATGAAGGAATTCATCTCTCTTGAATGTTCAAGAATAGTGACGGACGTTATAAGGTAAAGCAGAAAACGTACAGAATGGATCGAAGAAATTGTTTCAAGGGTTACTTTGCTTTTGTGTTCTCCTAGCTCCATCGTCACTTCAGAAAACGTTCACATGTCGTTATAATCAATCAGAGTAATGTCTTTATGATCCGGCGCTCAATTGCAAGATATTTTGCGTAACTTTTTTTCCAACCAAAAATTTACTTTGCTTTCCGTCAGTTTCATGATTTTATTTCCGGTACTGATTTTTTCATGACACCTTGTTCTCTTCTCACTAATCAGTGTTGTTTAGTGGTTTACCAGTTGCAAGAAACAACCGGAGAAGGGAAGAAAACGCGATTGCGACACAGAGATTTTAGATCAAGCCTGATTCTTTTGCCCTATAGTTTGCGGGAGAAATGACGTACGAACTAGCACTACTTTGGATGCTAACAGAAACACATTTTCTTTTCCTCAGAGAAGTACAAGAGGAACTTCTTAAAATAGCGAGAGAAAAAGCGGCTAAAGAGATCTGCCTTGCACTGATCGAAAAAGGAGTATTGCATGAATTGCGGGAACTTGCAGGGGACGCTTTGGAAGAAGAAAAGGCAGAAAGAGATGCTAAGCTTCAACAACTAGCTTCCCTTGTCGTCAGGAAGAGAACATCGCGATATTTTAAGAGGTATAGTATGCCTGATTCTCCGACTTTCTTAAACTACAAGTTGCGTCTTTACTCCTGAAGCACGAATAGTCCGGGAAATTGAGGTAAAGTGTCGTGTTCGAATTCGCTCCAACCATTAAGTCTCATTAACTGACTCCGTTCTGGTAGGCCTCGTAAAGGTTAAGAGCTTATAACGGTTTCAGTGGGGTGGCGTGACTGTCACTTTTCAACGTGCTTATTTGTCTTTATTATTGGCTGAAACAAGACTTTGCGTTGCATTACGTTTTAGCCAATCGAAGCGAATATGTGTTTTCTTGGCCAATAAGGTGCGGCAAGAGGATGATGTGTTTGAAACTTTTTCCAGCGCTTGCTGCCGCTGTTTTCGACGTGTATTAGGTCTCGTCATTTACAAGTCGTCTTTTTTTTCAGGTGGTTGAAATCGTACCGGACCTGTGTGCACCTCAAGGACCTTCTGAGCGCTTTTCCACCAGGGGCTCCCATGCTGAGTACAGAGGAACAGCTTCAGAACCTTGTGGGAAGCAGAACACATAGCGTCACTATGGCCTCTATACGGTAAAGTACTTTTATGAATGAAAATCATGTAAATTATGTTATCACGAGCGTGGCACAAAGGAAAATAACCTGTCCCTAATAACAGCGATCGCAGGTTAATAAGTCCCTAGTAATAGTTGTTGAACTTATGATGGCGTTCCGCTTAGCTGTCAGATGCTCTGAACACTGAGCTACAGGGAAACCTCCATGAACGCGTTTTGTGTGAATCTTTTCTCATCTAAGAGATCCTCTCACGACAAAGTCGTTGTTGCCAGTGTTGTTGGTCACTCTTATCGTTTCTGACATTGATGGCAATTTTCCATGCCTGCAGAACTGATGTCCAAGGACGGGAAATTCACGATGCACTCAAGAAAAGAGAGTTGGACGTCGAGCATAACAGGTATGCTTCCCATGGCTACAATGAGTAAATTGCGCTAATTTCATCAGTAATGGTCCTAGAAAGTCTCCGTTTTCTACTGTTACATACGTGACGACATGGAGTATTGATTTTGAAGAGTTTGTTTATATTTGTTAATATGTCGTAATCTTGCTTAGGGGTGGGCAATTTGACTTTTGAGCGTGGGAAGGGTTAGTTGATTTGGTATAGACATGAACTGTTTTAACCCTTTCATACACTAGGAATTTTTTTCTCAGGACTTGTGTATGGATTACTGTTTTTTGTTTTTAAGCTCACCTAACGTGCGTGAATTATTTTTCGGCAGTAGTAGTGTCCATGAATTTTTTTTTTTGGTACAAGTATGCTTGTGGGATAGATAGATTTTTTTTTCGAAATAACCCAATCTCCCCTTGTAAAGTAAAATGGTCCACCCCTTGAGTTCGTTGTTAGATTTCAATTATTCTTGTTATGCATTCATTCATTTATTGTTCCTCAAGAAAACAAGTATGTAGACCGCTGGACGTACCTTCACTGCTCGCAGACTCGATGAGATCTCAGCCAGTTACTGGCAATTTAGATCCTAGCTCCCCAGTGTACTGGAAACTGGTTATTTCGTTGCCAGAAGACTGCAAAGAAAATGGATTTACCGGCAGTGACAACAGTGGGCGAGATATCAGTTTTGTCATCAAGGAAAAATTCAAAAGAGGAGTGTGTCCGCCTCAAGATCATATTCCACAGGGACTCAAGAAAAAGGTCTGTTTCTAATATTAAACGCTTTAAAAAAAATTTGAAGCTTTTAATTTAAGTTCGCCGTGGTGAATTTGGTTGCAACTATTAACTTTCAAAACGTTAACATGCCAAATTCACCACGGCGATGAAATAAACAACAGTCTTTATAGACTAATTGTTTGAATGCGGTCGAACCAAGCTTGTTTCTGGATTCATTCTGGGGTCGTGTTTTTTTCGGAAGTGAGAAGCGCGGTGACGTAACGGCCAGCCTGCTGAACCTGCTGAACCTGTTGATCCTGTGGAACCACCGAGCTGTCTTGGCAACCACAGTGGAGGGAGTCGAAATTTATCTCAAGACTGCAACTAATATAGGTAGCGAACATTTATTCCGAGGCCCCAAGGACGGGGAGAAAAATGACGAGCATTCAGTTTATATTGTGTCCTGACGTAGAGACGCTGTTTGTTTCATTCGATGTAATATGGCTTTTCAGAATCCACGCACTTCTTCAGAACCTGTAATTTTATTCGCTCCCTGTTTCACGCACTTCTATTGGCTAGGTTTGTTCTTTCTGTTGTTTGTTCTGTTGTTTTCTCAGCTAATCCTGCTTAGCCCTCTGAGTGGTAGAGATGCCTCTGGCTTCTTGGTTGCTATGTTTTCAGTTTTGCGTTTCTTTTCAGGTTGAATTGTTGTCGCTCTACAGAGCAGAGATCCGAAACTTTCCTACACGGAATAAAGTAATGAAAGTCTGCACTAAGGTTAGTTACTAAGGTGGCGGACGAACGCTGATCCGACACTGATCCTTTCTTCCACTTTAAAGAAGTAACTGTAGTGTCTCTCGTTGATCGAATTTCCCCGCGCTCAAGAAACAACCAATGGCAGACCGTGCACGGTTCTCTCCCGACCAATCATCAGTAGTTTTCAATGCTAGTGTCTCTCCACTATGTTAATAAAAAGTCGCTTCGCTTTTGCAGGCATGTTACGGCGTACTGACAAACACAGAAGTAAGAGAAGTCCTGGACAGGCGGCAGTTCCACGGTGCTTGTGCTGTCATTTTTGTTGTCGACTGGAAAGAACTTCAGCTCAATCGACAGGTATATTAGTACCCTTCTCAGACCTTATTTGAGCGTCACGTAATGCACAGAGTAAACGTTGTGCGTCACGTAATGCACAGAATAAACATTGTGCGTCACGTAATGCACAGAGTAAACGTTGCGCGTCACGTAATGTACAGAGCAAACGTTGTGCGTCACGTAATGCACAGAGCTAACGTTGCGTGGCCTTTAAAATAACGACACTGAGAAAATGAGTTTCTTTGGTTGCGTTACTCAGATCATGGTGTATCAAAGGAACCGATAAATCCTGGGTCTCCTTATGTGCCTCACACTCGCTATTCCTCTATTGTAAATCTTTTGGAGTTCCCTAACTCTTTTCAGTCCCAACAATGATAATTTCAGAATCAAGAGAATTCATATTGCANAAAAATACAGAGGAAATTAAAGAACTTTGTTAATACTCCTTCGTTGTTTATTTGAGGCCTTATTTTTAGTCCTCCGGTCGAGAGTAACGCTAAAGAAAGTGCGAGAGAAAAAAAAATGGGCGTGTTTTTTCCTTCGCGTTACGTTTATTTGTTGTGCGAAGGGAAAAAAATAAGGGATGGGCTGCTCGTATGTATTTAAGCTTCTGTGGACGCTGGTTGCATAGTGTTCTTAGAGTCTGATGCCAAACGCTAGCGTCAGTTTTTGTGAGCTCCTGTTTTGAAAGTTTGGCGTCGTGGTGGAAGCTTTTACCACTCTTATGTTCACGTGTTATATGATGTCTGCTTGGCAGTTTCCTCGACATAAAATAGTTTTCGTTCTGTTACCATCAGCACGGCATAGGAAGGCGTATCAAAATATGTCAGCCATGGCTTGGTGTTGTAGTTTTTACACTGTATGCTTTGCAGGTCTTCAGAAAGAGTTCACAGTACCTGTATCCGAGGATCTGTTCATAAGAAAACAAGCTAAACTAGAACAGCAGGTATGTGTACAACCCCATGCATCAAGAGACTAGAAGGAGTTACGTTACTGTTTGTGCCCTCGAAAATTTTAACCTCGAAGCTCTCAACCTTGCTCAGTTAGTCAAGTAGATCAGAAGCACAGGAGAAGTTGTGATTGCCTTGCAGTTGTTTTGTTTTCCTGGTGTGTTTTCCTCCTATATGGATTTTCTGGTCTTAAAAGCGACTCACAAGCAAGAATGATCGACAGGCGATATTTTCCTCTTAATCATAACAATCACAATATCCTCAAACGTGATTGGTGCATAAACTGCTGTATTTTGCTCTAATTAATCTGCAAAGTTGCAATCGGACAGTGTAATCGGACAGTTGGCTGTAATCGGACACCTGTAATCGGACACTTACATGAGCCAATCATTTTAAGTCCTTTCCACTAAATCCACCAATCACAACATTGATTACAATCACTATAGTAACCAATTCAAGAGACTTACTTTGTAGAATTGTGGAGGTTTAGTCTCTGATGACTGTTTTGAAAGAAACTTAACAGCCATTTTGCCAGCTGTTCTCCATATTTTTAATTATGATATTTAAAAATGACTATTAAACACTCTTTTTCAAATGAATTTTTACTTTTGTGGGAAATTGTAATTGTTATGATTAATTGATAACAGGACATCATGTCGTCCAATTCAGTCTGTAATCACACTCGTGATTAACAAATCAGACTCCCGCTTCGCGGTCGTCCGATTTTGTTAATCACTCGTGTGATTACAGACCGAATTGGACTCCACTCAGTCCTGTCACCATTATTAATTTCAACACGCAATGAAATAATAACGTTTGTAGGATCAAAGAAATGGTTTTGTGTTTTGTGTTTACAGTGTCCAGAAGCTATTATTGAACTCTACAACAGCGTGTTGGATCACCTCGGAGCTGTTGTTTCGTCCAACAGTTTGCAGCGTCTTTCCTGGCCAATCAGTGAATTTACTGATGACAAGAAAATAGATAATGGTAAGAGAACTGGTGTTTTTTAATATTTTAATGATACGGAGAATTAGAAAAACAGTTGACAATTCTACGTACACATTACTTACACAAAAACGTATCCATAACTTGCTGTGCATAACAATGCTTTTTAATACGGGCAACATTTTTATTTGTTAACTGTAAATGTTTAAACGAGCCATCTCGCGTATACGTGTATCTACAGAGAATCTCTGAAACACTGAAAGGTTTTTCATTTCTTCTTACGATGGATTTTTTGAACCGGAATTTTTATATCGGTAGTACTTCTGCCCCACTACCTCCCAAGGGAGTCATGGCAAGGAATGGAGTGAAAACCTCCAAAGAGTCACTGTGTATTTTTTCCCCCTATTGAGCACATCGTCTGTGTGTTACAACGAGGCAGACTCCGATTTGTAACAAGCACTTTGCCTCACATCTGTGAATTTTTATTCGGCAGGTCTGCCAGATGTGATATGGAACAGCCACGAAAATCTTGAAAGACTTCACAACTGTATTACAGCTTTAAAACTGTCTCCACCTCCACCAGCTGCAGTTGATGGTGAGAAAATATTCCTTAACATTCCCTGTTCTTTTCCATAGTTAAGCTTGGGAAAATGTCAATTTTAAATAGCTAAGGCACGTTTTCTAAGATGATAATTACTTTTGTAATGAAACTATCTTAAATTCCAGTATCATCTTCATAATTGTTTTCTTTCTCTTTTTCAGGCATCTGGGAGTCTGAAAGTGAATTGTGTCTGGAGTACGCTCGAAGTCTTTCAACAAACACAACGGGACTGTTAAACAGGTAAAACACTGCTGTTCTGTCAGCATTTTAAGCTTGACTCTTTCTTCCTTGCGGCCATGTAATACTGTCTAATATACTACCGTACGACTACATTTTGTTTGGCATTGTATCCCTTTCTTTCAACTGAATCAGCTTCCAATAAAAATTCTAG